AATAATAATAATAATAATAATAATAATAATAATAATAATAATAATAAATCTACTGTCCATTGAAACTTCTATCTTTCCTGTCCCTCGAGATTTTCAGGGCTGGAGCACATGTTTATGTCTTTGTCTGATTCTCAGAGCGCAGGAGAATCCATGTTTATGGTCCTGAATGAACGCATTACTGTTTTGAAAAGAAGTCAGTTGTGGGTTTTTTTCCCCCTGTTGTATTGATGAAATTGCACATATATCCAGACATCGTACACACATCGTTTGTGAGTCAGACATAAGATCATCTCTGCTGCACCAGCCCTGCTCAGGCCGAGGTGCAGCTCCTGGCTGGAAACGCTTTGTGCCACGCAGTGGAGAGAATATTTGCTTTGGCATCTTCTCTCGTGCGAGTCAGGTGCTCTCAAGAGTTGGTCCATGATTGTGTTAGCTTTATTTTTCACAACAAGCAAAAAACTGTAACACACTGAGTTTTATGTTTTGTGAGCCATTCAAGTTTATTGTTGCACAAAAAACGACCATAAGACTCCAAAAAAGGCAATTTTATTCTGGTAGAAAGCCATTGTTTTTTATTTATTTATTTAACTTCTGATTTTGTGTTTATATAAAATGTGGTGTGCAATTGCAAGTGCGTGCATCTCAAAGAGTGCAGACGGGATATATGTGTGTATTCTGCTGGATTTGGTTATTTTTTTTATATATGCTACATCTTCCCAGGCTGTGCATGCTTGTGTAAGTCCGCACAGAAGCGGCTCCTCGGCGAATGTCTCTCTCGTATAGTTTCCTCTCCGGTTATTTGAACTGTCTGATCTTCACCGTTGTAACTTGTGTTCATATTTTTATTCACTTGGCCATTTCTCGACGTGGATGCAACAGATTTCCAAAATCCAGCATTTATGTTTGCCACAGGACGAGTACTGTGTCGTGAACAGGCGTCATTTTTTCTCTCTCTCGTGGCTCACATTCGCCCGGAACGAGCACATAAGTTTGTTCCGAGCAGTAAACAACTTAGTTGATTAGTTTTGCTTTATATACCCTGATTTAATAAGGAAAACTCCAACGCAAGCCAGTCCGAGCGGTGCTGGTGGTACCAGTGCCATGCTTTCCATTGGTTCCTGTTTACATGATGCCCACAGGACAAACGGTGATTGGTGGCTCCTCACACGTGACCAGGCAACTTTGTACATTTGACAGGGAGTAGGAGGGTTTTGTGGAGATCAGAAAAACGACAGCACGATAAAAATTAGTATTGTTGCACTTCACAAATTAATGACCATGAGTTCCTACTTGATAAACTCCAACTATATCGAGCCTTCCTTTCCTCCATGCGACGAATACCAGCAGAGCGGATACATCCCGAACCCCGGTGATTACTACGAGCGGCCAAAAGACACGGGCTTCCCCCATCACGACGAACCGTCTTATCCGAGGTCAAACTACACGGAAACGGGCTACGACTACGGCAACGTGCCGGCGGCCGCCGGGCTCGAGGATTTTGGCGACGGCCACCACGCACAACCGCAGCCGGTTCCACAGAGCCACGGTCCCCGCCTCGCCGCGGCGCCAGACGGTGGCGCAGGGGCAAACGCCAGCAAAGACTGCAGCCTCGCCGGCGAGGTGTATCCCGGCGTGGCGAAGGGCAAGGAGCCGGTGGTCTATCCCTGGATGAAAAAGGTCCACGTTAGCACCGGTGAGTTATCGTTACGGTTAAGTAGCAGAAACCACTGAGCAAAAAAACAACCACTGGAACACATACGAGCCTATTGAGGCTGCACTAGTAGCAGCCCTTACAGCAGCAATTTACGACTATCGAGCAGCGGGGTCGGTAATTAAGGACCCTCGTAAATTTTATTGCCTGTGTTCGTCTGTCGGGGCCATGTGCCTTTGTTGCTTTTTAACCCAAACTACCTCCGCTACTGGAATCCAGCCAAACTATAATATTCCGCCCTGCTGTTTGGTTAATCATTCCTAAGCTTGATCTATCCCTGGATGCGAGCGTTTGTACACTCGGCATCTCGGCGTAAAGGTTATGCCCCTCAAACTGAATTTGAGAGGAAGGCAGACAAAAAAAAGACGCAATATTCTTCCAAAACCTTTTTCTTTTTTCTATTTTTCCCCCAATCTATTTTGATTTCACACCATTTTAGTGTGTCCAGTGGTGCCAGTAAAGGAGTGGAATGAACGATATCAACCTGCATGTAACACCTGCTTGCCTGCCTGTGTATGGCTTCTTCTTTCCCTCCCAGTCAATGCCAGTTACAATGGAGGAGTGCCCAAGAGGTCTCGCACCGCTTACACCCGCCAGCAGGCTCTAGAGCTGGAGAAAGAGTTCCACTTCAACCGCTACCTGACCAGGCGCAGGCGGGTGGAGATCGCGCACACCATGTGCCTGTCCGAGCGCCAGGTCAAGATCTGGTTTCAGAACCGGAGGATGAAGTGGAAAAAGGAGCACAAGCTGCCCAACACCAAGATCCGCTCCTCCAGTTCGGCCTCTTCCTCAGCGTCCGGGGCCCAACAACAGCAGCAGCAGCAGCAGATCAAAACAGGCCAGCAGCTTGTCCCCACGCCGTGCACTGTAGGTCTATAGTGCACGAACGAACCCCAAACGCCCGATAAAAAGGAGGAAAAAAAAACCCCAACCCAATCCCAAGACTGAGATGGCAAAACAACACAAGTGGAATGGATGGACTGATTTTCAGTATTTTACACACGTGGTGTTATCTCTGTCACCTTGCCTCTGCCATTGGGCCCCTGTCACGTCCTTTGTACCGTTACCCCTCTGCCGCCATCCTCTTCATATAAGCTTGAAATTCATCTTTAATTGCCACGGTGGCAACTGAAGTGTTTCTAGATTTGTTTGTCATGAATGAATCCAACGCACATTCAAACGTAGGACTGGGAGCAAAGTGTACCTATCATTGCAGTCGAAAGTGAGTGAGATTAAAGTAAGTTTGAGCTCATTTTTTCTATGTTTTTTTCCCGTTTTTTTATTACAATTGCTCATGGAAAGCTCTAATATACTTGAAAGATATTTAGCGAGACTCAGTAGATGCCTGTTAGGGAAACCGGACGGGCAGTTTTAGAGGATTGGCATCAGCCAGGGCAAACAGTGTAGTTTGTGTGTTTGAGTGGGTCGGTTTACTGTTGAATGTAGTCCAGGTGACTTTGACATCTAATGTAAATAGACAAATCCTACCTAATGAAGGCACAAAAAGGCAAATCTTTCGTCACATTGTTGGTGTTGTAAGGTCTAGTTTAATTTGTAGTGGTGCGTCCTATGTTGTGCTGTGTTCTAAACTGTGAATATTTGTGTGTGTTGTCTCAGTGATGAACGTTGTAATGTATAGGTTAGTGTAGGTTAATCCTGTCTGTGAAATAAATATGGACTTCACTTACAAGGCTGAGGTGGTTTTGAAGACTTTGTCAGAGCAAATGACTGGCGTGACTGGACTTCAGTAGAATGTATTTGTAGCCGCTTTTATTCGCATTTCTGTGTATGTGTGTGTGTCCCATGTACGTATCAAATTATTTATCTTATAGGTTGGAGTTCCGAGCTGTAATGTTTAACATCAAAGCTCGTCCACGGCGAAAAGGTAAATGAGGCTGAAATATGATATAACTATAGATTTTCTTCCGAGTTGTTAACCGTTTCCCTGATATGTCTCAGAAATTTGGTTTAATTTAGGCTTATCTAAACTGTCAAGCATCCACCAAACTGCAGTGGTGCTATATTCTTAATCCCTTAAAGAAGTTTCATGACTCGATTTTCCTTGCAATTTTCACCTGTTTATCCAGCTTTTTGTAAAACTTTCAAGTAGCCTTTGCTCTAATTTTGTAGACTTGCATATACATTTTTAATGGCTTGTTCGAAAATCTGATTATTTTAGATGTGGCGCCTTTAAATATCAGTGCAGATGTCCTTTTAAATACATTGAAACTTGCTTTCACCTCACGTAATAAACTAAAAGGGCCAAATTACAGGACCTTTGCATCTTAAATGGGTGGTCAAAGCTTATTTCCACAAAATAGAAGATTAATTGGATGTGAAACCTGTGAATGTGTAAATCTATGCGGGATTGAGTCTACAAGCAAGAGCTCTGTTTTTGCCCGTCAGGCTCAGATTTCACTGCTCACCTGCCTTAAAACCAAATCCGTAAAATGTGCATGAATGTCATGCGCATTTTTGTGGATTAAGATTGGATGCGGTAGGAATTAGATAGGATACGGCAAAAAATGTGATGCGGACCAAATCTGAATTGTTAGACCTCCGTCGACAGTTATTGTTTCCACTTTGCTATTAGTAAGATATCTCAGCTAACCTCGGAGCACTAGAGTGTGAGTGTTGGTCACTACCTGCTACATCCAAACAATAGAGGGTTCAGCCAGAGGACACGACTGGCTCTGGCCAATCACCAGCTCGGAGCACTTCTTCTGACCCCTGACCTTTCGACACACACAATGTTCAGACCATACATCAGCGCAGAGGTCTCCGTCAGCTTTTTCTTCTCGTTTGAGGTTTACCCATAGACGGCGTGGAAACAATAACGATGTTTAAGTGTGAAACTGAGCCATGAATTTCCCCAAAATGATTCTAAGAGACAGCTCTGGTTCAGATCACCACAGAGACACCGCTGGCAGGATTTAAAGGGGGGGGGGGCACCATGAAGAAAAACATGCTGGGATTGCGCACGTTGTGCCGAATAATCTTCTGTTTGTGTTGACATAGAAGATTTACTCCAGTGATTATGTCAGTAAATTTTGAATGGATGGGATAAGAATACTCATCATTGTAAATTATCTAATAATAATAATCCCAATAGTCCTCAGACGCATGCGTAAAGTCAAAATATCTTTCAGGGGGTTGTTTGGTGTAGGGATTGTTTGCAATGTTAAATGTTACCTATCTGTTTCCAAAAAAATGAATAGATTTCTTTATAAAAATGACTATATTTTCTCTAGAAATCCTCACTGGCTTTGCGCAGCAGGAAGCTGTGCACAAGATGGCAGTGACGCTGACTGGCACCGATTTTGCGCAGACTCCCAAGAAGTCCAACTATAGTTCAATTACAGATTTCAAGTCATTTGATTTGCGAATAGAGGTCACTTTCAGAGTACTGAAATTTTAATTCGCCCGTTCACGTGACTCGCTGAATAATGAATGCCCCGGGGGTCAGAAATAGATCTGAAAATCTGACTTATTTTCATTAGAAGTGATGCTCTGCAGGGAGCGGGTCAGATCTCTTCTCCTCTGACAGAACTCTGGACAAAGACCGTCATGACTTGTGAGTAGATTTGAATACTTTTTATTTTGGCTCTAAAGGAAACAGGAAAGATTTTTGTGTGAATGATTTTGCTTCATATCCAATTTCATAGCTATAATCAGTTTCCCTCCACAACAGCTATTGATTAAACAATTATAGTATTTAATCTAAACTAAGCAAATCCTAATTGACTGGGGTTCCAGTCAAAAGACTAGAATTTGGGGTTAAACTTTTTAAAATTAAACCTACTTTGTAGTTAAATCTCTTTGATGACAGACTCCCAGTCCTTGATGTTGGATACTATTGAGATTGATAATCTCACTTTACGAGGTAACACCTTTATTTTGTTGTGTTTATTTGATTTTCTTTGACTCTTTTCCATTGCAGCTGTCTTACTATTTAGTTTTATTCTTTAATACTATACAGACTATGGATGGATGGATTCTATTATTTGTTTTTTCTTAATTTCATATCAAATATGACTGCAGAATACCTTGCTATAACCAACTGAACTGAACACGATTAGTAAAACAAGATAATTTTAAAAAAGTATTCTCTTAAATTGTAATTTCCCCTAATAGTGCATCCAAAATGACTGGATCTGTTTTTCGTCACTGCTTACATTAAAGAGCTGAAATTAATATCATATCTAAATTTGAAAGTGCAAACAGGAGTGAGGGTTTATCTGATGCTCTTGGACTAGCATATTTTTTAAGTTTAGAGCGAGGAAAACCCATAAATCAGTTTTATACTGCTTTTTTCTTTAAACACAAAACCTTATTTGATTGTATTCTAATCAAATAAACGTGTCTGAACCCCCAAATGTTCCTGACAGCTTCGGCACAAAAGTCCACAACGTAACACTGACAGGCATAATAAAGAGGCAGTTAAACATGGAAATAAAAAAGTGCTTTATTACAACCACCTTCGAGCAAACAGTTCCTCTGCAGTCCGTCACAGGGCTGGGCTGAGGTTAATTAGAGAAGGCTGCCCTCAGCTCCAGGCGTTGGGTTTCGCAGTAGCCTCGGTGTTGGCCGCCATGGAGCTGGCAGAGGCAGTTATCTTCGGCTGCGAGAGTCGGTAATTCAAGCCTCGCTGTTAAAAGCTCCGAGTGTCAACATTGTGGGGAGATATGGACCGCCGTCTGGCCAACATCCACAGATCTGAGACCTGCGACTTCCCCTTTTTCTTCGCTCTGCAGACGCTGCAAAGAGCAACTGATTTGTGTAAATAACACCAGAAAACATTTGGGTTACTGAGATTGGGAGCGCCATCCATCAAATATTAGCTGGATGTAAACGGGAAATAGGAACGTTATTGTGTCAGGGTGTGTGGGGAAAGTCGTTTTCTAACCAGCCGAGGGGCCTTGGATTCCCATCGTCTTCACATTTTGAACCACAAACAGCGTCCCACTCGAACTCTTCATTCCTCTGCGCGGGTCAGGGAAAAGTTCAGGTGCGGTGGCGAAAGCCACCGTGGGATGATCCTCACTGTCTCACAGAGCCACAAATCCTCATGGCTTCACATCTGCAAAAACACACAAATGAGCCCATTCCAGACCGTCAATCTAAGCCCAGAGAATTTGCCTCCTTTTTCCTGAACTGAGCGTTTTTTAAAAAGGCCTAAAGTCGTCCGTAAATCTCACGTTTTTTAAATGAAGTTTAAGCTAAATTGATAGGATCGAGCTCTGCTCTTGACTTTTAAAGTTTGGCACTCCAGTAGTAGTTGGAGAGGACAAAGGCTCGTGTGGGAGAGCGACGCTGTCTCTGTCCGCCCCAGATGATTAATAGTGCTGGTGGGATTTTTCCACGCCCGCTGCTCGGTGTTGACGGAAAACAAGCGCCAAACGGTGCCGAGAAGAGAGAAGCTCTTCCGGGCTACGACTTTTGGCAATACATCGCCTCCCAGAAGCCAATTTTCTTCCGTGGCGCACGTGGCAGACTATTCAAAGACTATACTTTTTTCTTTCTCCTATATAGCGGGCTTGACACCCAATAAAACTTCCCCAGACTCGTCATTTTGCAGTGTAAACTTGTAAATTGGGCGACCACTCAGTGGGTCACAGGAAATGTAAAAGCGCGTGTAGTTCTAATGAGGGTCCATGTTCTGACCAGCGGGGTCTTTGGTTCCCTCACCTCCACTTTCCGCCCACCGCTGACTGACAAGCACCCCTCGCCACCAGCTGGACGCGCAGCCTCTCTGTGCGTGACAGGTAAACGTGCGACGTTTGGTTTTTATTTCCACCTCCGCATGCACACGCTTTACTGATGTGGGGGGGTGGATGGGTGGGGGGGTTACACAGACTGGCTGAGTGGTACAAATGCAAAAGCAAAAGCGCCACGATGAGGACGTGGGGGGCGATATTGAGTTGAGTTTTGTCCAACACCACCCCCCCCCCCACCTCCCCCCCATCCACATGCAGAGAAGAAAAAAAGAAGCCGGGGTATTTGTGGGAGAACCAACGTGTGCCCGCACGGTTGGACCCGGTTCTGGAAAGATAGCTTTTTTTTTTTGCCACATCGCATAATGTGCAAATGGTCACGCTGCTGACCAGACGTCTCAGTTTCCTGCCTCGCTGTGAGCTGCTGCACTTGAAACTCTTTAAGGGATGAGCTCTCTCAGCTGCTAACAGGCACCAAATATATGGCACTTTAAAACTGTCAGAGCAGCCTTTTCCCCGTGAATGGGCGACACGTGGAAAAGCTGCTTCCCAGTAAGAGGCTCGCTCCTCTGCCAGATCCATCGCAGTGTCACATACCCCTCTTTCTTTTTTCTTTTTCTTTTTTTTTCTTCTCCCTCCAAACTGATCCGTTGCTCCTCAGGGGCAATGACTGCCTCCATTAATGATTCACGGGCTCAAATAAAAGGGATTTAAGTTGACGTTGTGTCACGTGAGCGGGGGCGCATAATACTGCGCGATGTTATGGCACTGGGAAGAAAAACCGGAGCCCCGGTCTGGCCATATGATGCAGATTATATGCTGGTTACCCCCACTTTCCGTGAGGGGGGTCCCGGCTTTGTAGTTTGTTTATCGAGAGGACGTAAAGAAAGTAGAGGCGAAGCGGACTGAAAAAAAAGGGGGAGAGGAGCTCGGGTTTGTTGGATGTATTCTTGCTGTCACGGACGGATATGTTTTTCCACGCGGACAGAGTCTGAGCCCGAGCTTTGGGAGGATGGATTTTATTTTGAGGTATTTCCGCCGATTGTTCATTACTGTCGTGAGTTATTGCCGCGCGAGGCAAAGGTCAGTATAAAAGGGGGGTACACGGTTTGAACGAGGCGAGAAATTTCAAGAGGCGATTGCAATATTAGTCTGAATATCTAAGATACACACCGGGAAAAAAAAAAGAACGAGTAGACTTAAATAATTCACGCGTTTGCTTTATTGCTTGTTATTTGAGTTCCTACCCTGCGTTAAGACTGAAACGTTGTTATTCTATGCTTCATTCAATGCAACATTCATTTCAGTGCTGGGACTGAATAGCATATAGAGGGCAAAATTTGAAACATTTCGCATTAAGCACGCCTTTAAAATCCCGAGCAGCCATTTGGTGGCACAGGCCCGTGGAAGCCTTTTCTTTGTAAATAAACCGACAGTCTGCCGGTTTCCAAGAAAAAACCCAAACAGCGCGCACGGCGCCCCAAGGTTCAACCTGCCCCATAAAACAAAAAACACCTCGTACCTTAACGTGGGTTTTAAGTGTGTCTGCGCGTAAACGTTACATCAAGACGTGCGCCATAATACAACAACAAAAAAAAAGAAAAAAAAAACGGTGGAAAGCGGCGGGGTTGTGTCGCTCCGCCGGGGAAACGAGGATATAATGGAAGACGGAGTGCCATCCAGGACCGCGCGGCCGCGCTGAGGTCACGGCGCTCCTGGTTGATTTATGGGCGCGGGGACTTGGGGAAGATGGTGAGCGAGAGCTAATGACTATTCGATCCGTTAGTGGAGAAAATGCACAGACCAGCAGGGAAACAACAAACACGTTATTTGCATAGGCCCAATTTGAATCCCTTTAGCGTTTAAATGCTACTAAGTGTAATATTTATGTATAAAACCTCAGTGTTTTATAGTAGAACCTCATTATTATGGCTTTTTGCGCCACTGCTTTGTCTCTTTGTCGCAGTCTTTTGCTTGTTCCACAATACCAAAGGTTTTTTTCTGTTTCAGTGAATGTAAAAATATTCTGCATTTAACCCTGATTTAAAAACAAAATCAAAATTGTTTTAAAATGAGCTTTCCATAAATGTATTTAATTCAATCACACATTTACCTGCGTAAATCATTTACCAGAACTCTTTGTGAGACATTAAAACGAGGGCCTAAACCGCGTTTAACGACCTAATAGTTGTGATCAAATTCGATTCTAATCCTATTTAGTCTCAAATTCAATAAAATAAAAACAGAACCCAAATTCAATATAAAAAACATACAAATGTTGGATTATCCTCCAAAAGATTTTAAACGTGCATTCCACTCCTCGTTGCAGAGATCCACCCCAGTAAAGTCAGGCCATCCCACGGTCTCGGAAACACCCTGAGCGTCCTTCGGTAAGTCCATATATCTTTATTGATTTGTGTTATGAACGCTTGATGGTTGATATCCTTATTCAATTTCTAATAAGTACCACACACGCCCACCGAAGCGCTCGCAGGGCTCCAGAAGCAGCCCGTGGCTCGTGCGTTTCCGTGTAGCAGCAATATGACCAGCCCGAGAGCAATAATTCCTTCTCTTCCACTTGTCTTTGTGGTGTAATTTGTCACTATAAAAGTGACGAGGAGAATCGCAGCTCTTGGAGCGGCGCCTTGCTCATTTAAGAAAACTACTTTCTCTCAAAGCCATCTGCCTGTAGTTGCTACAATCTGCTACAGCGAGCTTTAAAAATGTGTTTTTTCCAACTTCTTTTTTTTTTTAATCAACATTTTGTTTTTTCCTCCTACGTTATTTGGCGTCTTATTGCGCGTGGCAGTGAGGGAGCTCAACCTCGCTGACTTTTAACCCTCTCCTCAGGGCCAAATTAAAGAGAAAGGCGATTCAGCATTTTAGCAAAGGACAAAGGAGTAAATAATTATACAAAGTGGCAGCGTGGCTTTGTAAAAGAAAAAAGCAAAGTTGGCTGAAAAAAATATCCTCACGCGTGAATTTTGCTCCCACTCAGCTTCCCACGCAGTCCGTGCGAAGTTGGACATTTTTAATTGTGTCATTGCATCTGGTCCCAGAGCCTGAACGCAGCAGAGTGGCTCTAGCCTTTTGCCCGTGTTTACAGCTGAGGGGGTCATAAATCTATTTCTCCCGGCCTTTTTTCTTTCTGGCTGCATGAGAGAGAGGGATTCCCCCCGTGATGCCGGGCTCTCTTCTCCACAGTTCCACGCTGCGTGTTCCCCGCTTTGCCTTTTAGTGATGAAACTTCTGCTCATTTTTCAGACCGTCCTCCACCGAGTGGGATTCTTCCCTTTTAATGTGCACGGAGCTCAGCTTTGATCTAGAGCTGGGGTTTTCTGATAAAGATGGGCAGGGTGGAATAATCAGACTCAGAAATGCCAAACGCATAGGGCCCTATAAGACTGAATCTGTTCCTAAAATAAGGAGTTAATGATTAAGCCATGGACAGCAGCCCTTTATGTCCGGCGATAATGGAAATGCAGCACGCTCAGCTCAGTCTGATTATTCCTTTGTATTCGCCTCCACTCTTAAACATCCAAAAGAACCAGGTTGATAATTCCACAGCATGAGGAGGAAGGAATCAAAAGAAACCGTTTAAAATCGTCGCAAGGGCTGGAATCTTTGGGACGGTGTGTTTTTTTAATTTTATTTTTGTTTTTATTGTGGACTCACTACCTCGTTTAATTGGGGGAGGAGGAGAGGCAACCACTTGATTTGTACTGGCTTTCCAAGGCGCTACTTCATTTGCATAATTTTTCTTGTCTATGGTGACGCTCTGGTTCGGGGCAGTTCACTGGTGTCTGCATGGTACTGGTGAAGGATCTCATAGTCACGCATCGCCTTGGCTGACGTTAATATTGCAATGAAGAGCTGACCATTGCTCTATAGCATGACGATAAATCCAGTCCCGAGGCCAGATAAGTCTTATCTCACTGACCCGACCGCTCACGCCTGCTTTCGTAATCTCGGTGTACCCATCCACGTCGAGTAGGAGAAAAAGGAAGAGGAAAAAAGGAAAAGGGGGCTTCTCTCTAGCCCTCTTTTTTTTTTTGTTGTGGCTGCTAATGCTTGGTGTATGGCAGGGCGCAGTCTGCTACTGCTCCTTCACCCAGCCAGCACTGCCTGCCTTCCTGCCTGCCTGCCTGCCTTTAAACTTTTTCTCTGGATTACTGCTTTGATCGATTTCGTCGCTGAATGAGAAAATATTGCTCGGTGCTCTGCATTCATCGTGAGAGGATAAGGTAAGCAGGCCAGAAATAGGCTCCCCTCGGTTGTAAATGGTGGAGTTTGTGTGTCGCGCGGTGATTTATCACCGTTTGACTTAGATCTCGGTTCAGGAAGAGTTCACACACACACAGTCAGGCAGCCAGATTTCTCTTGCGAGGAGCACAGGGCTGCGCACACAGCCCGAGCCTGTCTTTTGTCTCTCTTTTCTCTGCCATTTATGAATGTCGCAATGGTTCGCCAGGAGATACACAGCACAAAGCTTGCTGATATCTTTCCCCGGTCATCAGGAGTGCGGACACAGCGAAGACACCTTCTTTCAGCCTGCGGTTTAGCCGCGTTAAGGGCAAGCTGAAAGGCTCATTTTAGAGGAATTTGCCTACTGGTATGCACTGATGAATGAGGGCAGAATTCATACATTTTATAATATATTTTCTTGTTTTTGTAATTCTAACCAAATTACATTCTGGTTAGAAGTTTTTATGGTATACAATTTAGATAATGTCTGTAAAATTGTATTCAAAGGTTTCATAGAATTGGAATTTTTGGTGTCAGGTTTATCAGGAAATACACAAAATCCAGACCTTCCAGTCAAAACGATTTCAGGGTTTCATTCGACTTTTGTATTTAATTGAACTTTTTATTATTTTTGGGGGAAATACTTATCTGATAATCCGGTACGTTCCTTTGAGCGACGGGGAGATCTTACATGTATAATGCCGACCAACAAAAGCAAAGCAGGAATAGATTTAAATAAGCAAAATAGTCTTGTATTATTATTATTATTATTATTATTATTATTATTATTATTATTATTA